CATTAATTTTAGTTTTATCTCATATATAAATCAAAACTACAACTGAATTAAGAACTATGCCAAAGCATCAAAAGCTTCTGAATTATATGCAGCTGAAAATTACAAGCAAATTTAATAACAAACAAACAAGAATAAACGACAAACAATAAAAACTTATTTTCCAATTTCAAAATCTTTAGCAAGTATTTAATGTGTAACTCAATCATTTAAATATCATTGTTAAATATTTAAATATCATTTTTAAATTTTTCAAATTTATAACAAACAATAGTTTATTTTTAAATATCTCTTAAACAAAAAAAAAAGATCAATTTTAAAATATTAAAAACTTTATAATTACAGATACAAATATAATATTTTAAAAAACTGATACATGCATATATCACTCGGGATAAACAAAAATAACCAATTAAATTAACAGAAATGAAAAAACATGAATTTTTAAAACTTTGATGCTTGCCGCATGATTCGCTAAAAATCTGCAATCACGTGATCTCGATGAGGGCGGGAAGAGGATTAACGGACGGACAATGAACGGACGATCCTGCTTGAATGGCGTGCTGAAGCGCACTCGAAACCGAGCCGTACAATTCACGCGTAATTCTCGTAACTGCGATATTCGCGTTTCGCTGCGATTTCCGTCTCGACGAGGTCGGATTTGGCTTTTCTACCCGTTCAAAAGATCTCGTTTAAGTCTTTCAGTGTGTTTCAAATCGCAAAATACAAAATTCGTACATTTTTACAAAATAATATATTTTTATTCCATTCAATTTTTTGAATTTTTATTTAGTTTTTCATTTTTTTCTTAATATATTTGATTGTATAATTTTATATTATCATTATATTTTACTCAGTCATTTACATCTTTTTCCATCCACGAGAGAATAATTAAATGATACAAATTTAAAAAGATGATCTACAATTTATTCTAATCTATATATATATTATATTATAAATAATATATTATGAATATAAAGCATAGATTCAAAAAGAATAATATTTTTCTCTTCTTAATATATTGCACACACTTTTCTTAGATATAATAAAAAAAAAATTAATTTATACAGTGTGCCAAAATGTTAAAATATTAGTATAATTAATTATTATAATAATGATAATAAAGGGGATAAAGGAAAGAAGGGATTACAATTCACGTTCATAATATCATCCCAACCGTGAGACACCCGGTATACATCGCATTAAGCGCTGTGCGACACTGTCCCGCGACTAATTGGGAGCGGTTAATGAGGTGACGCATTTTTATTGTTCTTCCGGCTTGTTAAGCGACCTGTTTGCTTCCGTAACACGTACGCCGGGAGCCCCGGGAAGGCGCAGGGATAGCTGGGAATCCCGCGGATATCCTGAAATTGTCCCGAATACCTCGCGCGAATCCCGGAAACGCCGCTGGAATATTTTTCGCGGCTTTGCCGACCCGGCGGATTATCGACATCGGCGTTATACACACACGTGCGTTTATTCACACACACGTCTTCGTTTAAATAAACGCGTCCAAGCGAATTCATAATTAAATTAATTTAATAAACAGAAATAAATGGATAATAAAAAGATGCTGGCGCGTTGTCAATGGCCACACTAAGCGGAACTGATTTAACTTATCGAATATTATCTTACTCCGGAAATGAATTAACTCACCAAATAATACTTTTGCGTAAATTGAGATAAGAAGTTAAACTACAATATAAAAAATACATGGCAGCCACATGTATCCTCTTAAAATAGGAGAGATGTGCGATGCCTGTGATTAATTATATATTCTAAAACGTTATCATTTTCTCTTGTAAAAATTACTATAAATATTATTTTAAACGATTCTGTTTTAAGCGGATTTTTGACAAATAATAATAACAATATACAATATAAAAGATATAGATGTAAGAATTCAATATACGAATATTTATGAAGATAGTTGAAATAGCGAAAATTCGTAATAATATTCTAAAATAAATGATCATGAATATGAAAATCGTAATTGCCTGACATAGAACTAAATGACTTGTTTGTTAAAAGTCAATTGATATTTTCGTTCTTGGATAGCATGCAATTTTGAATGTTATTTCAATCGGCTCTTTAATTCAGTGCTTTTAACTTGTCAATTCACGTATGCGTATAATTGATGTTTTCTGGTTTTGCGAGTCAGTTTACTTTTGCATAGCATCATTCATTTAAAAGCCATTCTATTTCGCTTTAACATTATTATAAAAATCATAAATATTTCTCTACTTTTATACAGAATGTGCTAGAATAAAATTTTTTAAATATTTTATATATACATATATATATATATATATATATATATTTATCAGAAAAAAGATTTATTTCTTTGCTTGTATCATTTTCGAAGAGAAAAGAGATGAGTTGTCTTATGTAATAAAAATAATTAAAAAAATGATTATGAAGTGAGTTTTTCATTAAAATGGTTTTTAACGCATGACATTTTTCGGCGAGAAGGCCTTGCGCACAGATCGGTTTTCTGGTCAGGACGAGAACGCAGGCGATTGACAGCTACATGAAAAGGACGGCAAGTGAAGGATCTGGAAAATCCACGTGCAGATATTACACGTTCTCGCGTAAAGATGTCGTGTTTTTCTATCGCGTTCTGCACGCTTGATACTGCGTTCTAAAATTTGATTCGATCGTGAACGGCAGTTCATCTTCGAATGTATGAATAATGAATTTTACCCCACTAAAACTTTCATAAAACTTTTTCCACGTTTACAAAAATATATTCCCGATAAGAATCTCATATTTATAATGTACATATGTCTATACTATAATATACAATTGTTTGATATTTACTGGCATTTTTCGATTAAATATTAACGGTAATTGACTAGTTCTTTGTACTTTATCAGACTCTTAATCCAGCCTGATAACAAAATCATATACAAAATCTTTCTGTATTACTTGAAAAGAAGCCATCTTGATGTTAAACCATGTTATATTACACTCGCGATGTTTCATTCATGAAAGTATTCCACTCAATTTCTTGAACTCTGATGGGTCAATTCTTTTTACGAGTATATCCTCAATTCCAGTTTATATATAATATTTTTCTATTTATTGCAAAAAATTCTTAGCATATAACTTAAATTCTTTCTTTACAAATAAAGAATATTAGTTATGGTATTCTCTCTGTATGAAAATATTGTTTTCTGTTAACAATAAGTATAATATAACTATATAATATCCAAAAACAGAATTGTTATTGTGGCATCTCGATTAATTTTAATTTCAGCTGTATATACAATTATATTCAAGCTATTCACCTTTGTTAACCTACGTAAGTATATGTTTACGTACCGTTTACTGTGTAAAACAAAGTTTAGCTAATCTGTGAAACTGTTTCAGGTTTAGTTATATCCAAAGTTAGCTCGAAAATTAATTTCAAGATAATTGAATATTTTGGTTGTTTATGTGCTAATTCCAATATTGTGGCTTACCATATCTGTTGTTAATTATCTTTACCGTTTCTCTTAATACATTCTTCAAAAAATTAGAGCAGATGTTTTTTTTTATTACAAATTTTATTGAATACTATTTTTTGTGAGAATTAATGTTTTTTTAGATTAATTTTTTTAATTAATAACAAATAGAAACAATTTTATTTAATTATAAGTTAAAATTTTAATATTCGTATCATTTTTGTCAAAATCCTGGTACTATTATCTTTAAAATTCAACAAAATAGCATGATTTGATTACGATCAAAAATTGGCATTGATTAAATTGACACACTCAAAAAGTCGCCAAATCCTCTTTGTTTCTTTCTCGTTAAAAAGAAGCGACAAAGAGAAACAAGAGAACAAAGAGCTGGCAAAAGGAGAAAAGGGCAGAGACACGATTTAGTTCGTGAAAAGACGTTTCGTATCGACGTTTGTGCCACGACGCTATCTGTCGTGGATAATGCATCAGCTGCTGCAAAATGTCTCCGTCATTCTCTTTTTTTTTTTTTTCTCAAAACGAATAACTTCTTGTTTCGAGCACTGAGCTAAATTACGGGAAACACAGCCGTAATTAAATTTTTAATCAAAACATAGAATAAAACACGCCTTTTTCGCGGTTCTATTAATATTTTAACAGTCAGTTATAATACACACACATGAGAAAAAACAGTTCCAATATACATGCGAATAATATAATACTTTCTTAATTTATAATATGCGTGATCTTTCGTAATGTATAGTATGTGTGGTTAATTTTAAATATCTATGTTCAATAATATATTCTTTATTTTGCTGATATTAAAAATTTTCCAAATTATTTATTTATCCGCGCAGACATTTTCAGTATTTTTGTGTAAGTAATTAACTTCATAACTTGACACTCACCTCAATAATTCATATCATTACTTCGTCATTCCACGTCGTCAGAGATTTGTTCATCAAGACACAGGCATCCTTTATGCGTGCAATTCAACGCAATTAAGGTTTTTTTATTCCGCGCGTGTGTCTCGTGCAAGTTAGCCTCTGCAAATATTGCGACCGCTCGTGAATTCGCGGTCACGTTCCGCGCGTAAAATACGTTCTCGGCGCTTTCGGGTTTATACATCGAGTTTAGGGTTCGTCGGCACCTTAAAGCTAGGATAAAGCGGTTCTTTGAATGAGACTCCGCTCACTCGAAGATTTATACGCGCCGCGCTAGGAAAAATCGAGCAGATAAGATGAGATGATGCAACTACGTGCCAAAGAACACCAGGATCTACTTAGAGTAGATTGTTGATAAATTTGTACAAATACGTGAAGAAAAGTTTCGTAGAGAACGCCAGGTATTACACATATAATGCCATACACATATAATAAATCTACTAGATCAATACTGAGTCAAAACTTCAATTTCTTGCAAAGAAATGTGTGATCTTTCAATATGTAATGGATTAAAAAAAACGTGCTTGGGGTATATTTGCATCATCTCATCAGATATGAAATTTCACTCAAACAACATTTGTATAAAACATATAAAATGTAAAAATTTATAAATTACCAGTCGTTGCCAGTTTTGGAGACATTCTGTCGCTTGCGTCCAGTTTGGTGAGGCTTTGGTTCGGCCACCATGTTTACATCTGTAAAAAACAGATATATTAAAAATAATAAAAAAGATATGCAAATAAAGTACAAAAGATATCAAATGTTTAATTAATTAAATTATTAACAATTAATATATTTGGAGATGTCAGAATTTTTTTATTAAGACATTTTATTAATATAAGTAAAAAATTAGATTAATAAAAAAGTATATATATGTAATCTATATTCTTTTTATAGCTTTCCTTGATTTAATTTCTGATAATAAATGTTAGAAAATATATATGTTATTATTAGATATATATACATTATCATTTTACATCAATCTTTAACTATTAGACAGTAATTATTGGAACTTATTAATATTTCATAATTAAGAAGAAATTAGAATCTATTTTAAATCTACATTTTGGAAGATATTAATGTGCAAGATAACATGAAATTTTGAATATTTTATCGGTATGGATATATACATCGTATCAATCCGAATCAATCGTTTTTATTAATATCTTATTAAATTTTCGTTTTCACAAATACATCGACGCTTACGCTATCACTTGCAAAATAAACAAATCATATAAAGAATAATTAGGCGCCAATATGCTCGGTATATAATATAAGCGCAAAATGTGCTTTCATCGTTGTGCTGCACCACCTCGCAGTCTCTTGACGGCTTACGCGGATTAATAAAACGAAGACGGCGACGAGCGCGAAGCGCAAAGTTTCTGCTCAGCGTTTCCGCAAACAGTTATTAATTTCGCTGCCTTTGAGCCGGCCCGTAGCGAGATTGATAATGAATGCGCCGCGTCGTCGACGGGCGATCAAGCGACAAGGATTTCTCATTCTTCTCGGTTTTGTCGGTAACTGAGACGGGGGACCGCCGTATTCATCATACAGAGCGATTCAAAAGTCATGCAACAGGTGTGCAGCGATATTGATCCGCTACGTATGCTATTCTATGGCGACTCACGCCATTACATATGTATTTCTTCGAATGTTGGCAGGGTGATAAACGCTGCGCGTGATAAATACGTAGATTATAACTCGCGAACTCTGTACGGAGTCATTAGTCTTTAGAGAAAGCTGTAAGTAATTATACATACTATGACAAACGCAATGAAAGGAACCGTCTCACACAAGAGAGAATTAAAATAAGGATTAAAATAAATTATGATTGATTATACAATCGCATGATAAACATCAAGGAATCGCATGCATCCGCAATATCCTTTCAGAATGGCGATATGCTGTACGTTTCTGAAATCAAGGTTAAGGATATCGAAACAAGAAAAAATAGCATATCGGAGAACGGAGATAATGGTACTTGCTGGAGGCAGGAAGATGGAACGACAGAACCGATAAGGAAGGAAGTGTCAAGAGGGGTGAAAGAGAAAACGCAAAAAAAAGAAAAAAAGTAGAGAAAAGCGATAAAGCGAAGAAAAACTAATATGAAGGAGAAGGAACATCTCCAATTTGATGGAACTGTTCTTCTATCTTTACAGTGGGATGGAGGAAGTAGAAAAAGTGCAGATTGAATAGACAACAAGAAAAGAGACGAAGAGATTATTGAGAAAAATTAATATTATATCAAGAATTTTATCGAAAAATAAGAAAAAAATTATATAAGTTTATTTTATTATTAATTTCTCATTTAATTAAACCAATATATGAAGCGCTACAGTCCTTGCAATTTATTTTATAAACGATTATTTTATAAACGATTTTATAAACGATAATTAAGATATTAATATTAATGCAGAAAGAGAGGCGAATAATAGATTAAATTTTTGAAAAGAGAAAGTGTCGCACCGGTGTCCATCTCTCGAAATATTTTAATTTTATTCAAAGTCAAAACGTGCAATTTGAATAAAGTTAAAATAATTATAATTTCACAGAAACGCACCACTACCCTTTCCGCTACAAATCACTTTATACTGAAATCATTTTCCATCGTCCCCGCTATTCCTGCAAGACGTTTGCTCGTATCCGTGTCGCTAACTTCCGGGCGTTCTGCAAACCGTTGAGGTCCTGTAGCAACCCCTACCACCACTCCTTCGCCATTCCATCCCCTCACGAGGGGTGGTTTGTGGATGTTCCTTGTTAGAGTAGCGGGCTGATTCCGTTGTGTGCGCAGCGGTGCGCTTCGTCCTTTGTGTGAGCTAACCAAACATCCCCTCCCCGGCACCATCTCCCTGCACCTTATCCTCAACCCCCTCATTCTTCTGCTCCTCCATTATCGCGGCTACTTGCGCAAATTGTTTACACGTCGGTCCCCGAGCATTTCATGAGGCCGTCCAAAAATTGATGGTTTTGGTAGATATTTGTTGCATTTTGTGGGGAAGGAAGGGCTGATTTATTCAAGAAAAAGAAACTGAGAGAATCTCACGGAGCTACTAGGAAGATAGCGTATAAGATAATATTTGATTAATCAAAAAGCAATCAAAGCAAAGCTAAAGCATGTCGATATTCGATTTCATGAATAATATAATTTATATAATAAAGCTATTTGCATTTATTGTTTTTGAAAACATTGGTTACTCTGTTTGTCCGATTTTTTAGAAATGACAATAATTATTTAATTGATCATTGCATCTAAAAAACTTGCTTGTGAATTAAAAAAAATTCAATGAAAGAGCGAAGCGTTGGTTCGGCTGTCTGCTTATAACGCTACGAAGCTCGTTATCGAAACACCGCAGATACCAAGCGCAGCAATTGCATTCGCGATTGTTTTTCTCGATTTGATTTTCCCGTATCGAAACGCGCGAGGATTGATTTATTGGTAATTTACTCCTCCGCGTGGCGGAAGGGAAAATCCGAGCGTCAAGGGGTTAAATGCAGCGCGGCGGAACGAAACTCCCGACATTCGCCACCGCGACGCAGCTAATCGTTGCGGGCGTCGGCGTCGCCGCGAAGTTTAGTCGATACGCGGGTATACGCGGATGCAGTAGCGCGTGTAAGAGAGAAAGAGAGAGTAGAAGAGAGAGAGAGAGAAAGTGTACAGTGACACATAGAGAGCGAGAAAGAGAGAGAAACGTAGAAACAGGAGAGAGAGGAAGTCGAGTATCGATGTCATCTCCAGCACGCGGTTGAAGGGTGATTCCTATATCGCGTTGTGAATTGTTCCTCGAACTAACCGCTCGGCGATGAGCGAGCGGGGGATGTCGCGAGCGCGCGAGCGGAGCCGGAGCGGAGTCTGTAACAGGCAGCGACGCTAATGGAATATGACAACGCGAGGCGAATAATAATCGGCCGTTTCTCCGTCGCCGAACTTCGTAATAAAACGAGCATTGTCCATGACGTTTCGTCGCCGACAGCGTCGCGACGTCACGACGGACGTCGTCCCGTCGCACGCGGATTTTTCAACTATTTCCACGCGCGCACGCGCGCGCGTTTGTATTAACAATCTCATACTCATTGTCAGCGATAATAAACACAGTGTGTATGTTCAAAGAGTTTTTTATCAATTTAAGGTAGATTCCTCTTTAACAAAAATTTAATTGGACTTCATTTTATTTTTTAGAATCTTTAATTGAGCATGCATAATCGAGTAATTTAATAATTATTTGCGATGTGTAATGCTAAAATGGAAATCTTACAATATTTATAATATTTATCTAAAATTGGCTGTAGATAATAAAAAAATCAATTTTTGTATTGGATTCTATATCTGATAAGTAATTTTTTATATCTGATAGCTGTAATTTTCAATATTACATAGTTTCATTCGTTTTCTATAGAATTTCCTCCCCTTATGGCAAAATTGAAAATTCAGATTACTCTCAGCGAAAATGTCTGAATGCTATCAGTTTTCATATGCTAAACGATTGAACAAACATCTGAATTAAATTTCAGATGCATAAATTACAAAATCCTAATCCTTATTTCAAACATATTTTAATAGATGTGCAATTTCTGAATTAATATTGCACAAAAAGATATTGAAAATTCAAAATTTATAACAAATAATGATTATTTCCAATATTTCGTTATGAAAAAGTAAAGTGAAAACTCCGAATGTAACGAAAATTATGATAAAAGATAATGCCTGAAAAAAATTGAAATACCTTATATATTAATGACTTAATAATTAATTTCCAAATTAAAATTTTATTTTTTATATTGCAGTTTTTACATATACAACCTCGTTCGTTAATTATAGATATATCAGAATCAGATATATTAATTGCGAACATATGCGATAATTTATCATGAATGCGTCGCTATATTATGTAATACATACAATTTGGGCTATCTCGCAAAATATATAATAAATTATATTGTAATGAGATAATTTATATCATCGTTATACTTTTAACAGAATCCGCATTGAATATGAGGAAAATAATTCATTTAATTCAAAATTGAGATAATTAAGCGCTCAAGTACATGTATGCAATAAATTAAAATATTCTACTTTTTACGTTGTAAAAAATGTTGCAAATTTGCGTATGCGTGGAAATTTATTACAATTATGGTACTTATAAAAAGAAATTTTGCATTTTATATTAAATCCCGAGCAATTAATCTATTAATTTGGTTTGTTATTTTGTGACATATAACAAATTATTTTATATTATTAAATAATAATAAAATAATAATCATATTTAATGTAAAGAATAATTGATAGACTGTGAAAATTGCTGACAATATAGCCTATTAATTTTCTAACCGCAGACCGTTAATCACAAGAGATGCCAAATTGTTAATTCATCAATTTATTTATGATCTTGCAGATCGAGTAATTAATGTTGCACGTGGGCTTGACCGGGCATATTTCGATATTCAATTGTATTCGAGAGCGATAATTTCATTATGGAATTTACATTAGCCCGATAAATCTCGCAAAATACCACATAGTAATACCTAATCCGCTCGCTTATTAATACGCTTCTTAACATATCTCTGACAATTATATTTCTTATTTTCTTAATCACTATATAGAGTGATCAAAATATGGTAATAAACAATAAATTACATTTATGTATCATGTTTAATTCTCCGAATAATCGTATGCTATCAAAATTGTTAAATATATGAA